GAAAAGACTTTGTCAAGTCAATATATTTTGTGGATTGAATCACAAAACATTAAATAATGATTCGAAGAATAAATTTGTGGGTTCGTTGTTATACTTGTTGCTTACAATGTAAGGGGATGTAAATCGAGCGGGTTTGTTAACTGAAGATTGGTTTAGATTTGTCCATCCAAGTTTTATTTGTGTTCAAGATGAGATTTGAAGGAGATTCATATGAAATACAAACTGCAAGTTGCAAAAACACCCTGGTTCCTTTAGGTTACATCTGAAGACATCTAAAACATGGAAATTAGTTCAACATGGTTGAAACAAAGGAGATTGAAACTTCGAATTCAATTCGGAAAAATTACCTTAAATATTTGAAAGGATCGTCATAGAATTGTAAATGTATCTTAAAGTGGATCTATGTCATTCAAAGCTATTAAGTCGTTACGACTTCATTCAAATGTTACAACACACGTTCATTACAAGAAAATGACATTTCAATTTCCATCCATTACAAAAAGTTACAAAATTACAAAATCACTCAAAATCCATACTTCAAACCATAACCACCATGATGCTACTAATGTTCCCTCGCAACCATTGAATATATGACCCATTCATGCCTTGTCAAGCTAAAAAACTATAAAACCAGTTTCGCATAAATATCTGCAGAAGGCTAATCACCAATAATCCCAATAGCCTCGCAACTTCAGTTTAATGCCACAAACCTGCATTCCATTAAACTTAAAAAGAAAACATACATATATTTACAAGTCATTCACGAAACATCTATTTCTTATGCCTACCCGTGTGTCCGTCATATGCTCTTGCATCACCACCATCAAAATGATTTTGACTTGCCGAATCATAAACAAAACCCTTCAAAAAACCTGCATATACACCAAACTTCATATCAACAAAAGAAAAAATGAAACAATAGAATTTCACTCCATACCAGATTCCAACAAATTCCTAACCAACTCCTAACCGCTTCTAACCATTTCTTCTAACTGACTTCCCAATCTTCCTGCAGAATTAACAAAAAGCCTGTTAACTAAAAGCCTTCTAACAACCCTTTAACAGTTTCTAACCTTCCAAAACTGCCCCTAACAGCTTTTCATAACCACATAACTGTCAAATTTAACAGTTTTCCAACCAACTTTTTCCAACTAACAGATTTCTAAATAAACTCTGTTTCAATTAACCAAACTATAACAAATTAACCCTCTCTAACTAATTCCCTTAACTGTCAAAAACAGAAGTTTCTAACCGATTATCTAACCTATAACTACCCTGCATAATTGAATCCTAACTTCCCAAAACTAAACCTCCAACTAACATTTTTCTCCATAACAGAAAATAGCCCTGCAAACTGTCTCTAACTGCAATAACAGAATTCCTAACTGTTTTTCCCAAAACTAACCAACCTATAACCAGTGCCTAGCAAAACTTCACTAACAGAACTTCTAACTAACTATAACTCCCTCTCTCCTTCCCTGAAAAACAACAGATCCAAACAGAAAAATAACAGAAGGTCTATAACAGAAAGAGAGGGAGAGAATTCACAATTTTTTTACCAAAAAAGTCAGAGGAAAATCGATTATATAAAACTCACCAAGAACAATCAGAAGAATCTCTCAAGAAACTCTCTCTCGGCTTCAGGCTTTAGTATTCAACCACTTCCACATCTCCCTCAGCAAATTCCATCATTTCTCTCTCTCTCTCTCTCTCTCTCTCTCTCTCTCTCTCTCTCTCTCTCTCTCTCTCTTCATCACCAAGAACGCGATTCATACACGAGAATTACCAGAAAAATCCTCAAAAATCTCTTTGCACTCTCACTGCATAAACTCTGTTATCTTCTTCAACCTTCATCAAGACGAACAATTCTTCTCTCCACCATCGATGTGGGCGCAAAGATTCTGCAAACGATTATCTCTGCAACATAATGTCACACATCAATTCATTGCATAATCTTCATCAATATTGCATCTTCAAGCTTCTACACCAAACTACATAGCATCACATTCAATTGTCTTCTACTCCCAACGATCCATCATCGTCATCATCATCTTTTCTTCAACCAATCTTCAACACGTTTCAACCATCTGCACCCGCACATCACCTTCAAGCTTCTACACAGCTTCATCTTCTTCACTGCAATAACAAGTTCAATCTCCAGCTTCATAAGCAACACACATCAGAACTACATCGCAAGAACAACAATAGCATTATATTTTGCTCACAATCGAAGGATCGAAGAAAGAAGAAGATATTACCCGCATATTCCCTCTGGATTTCTGAGTTTCACGGTGTATCATTGTCTCGTACGCAAATCGTATTTTCTCTTCACCTTATCTTTTTGTTCTGTTTCTGTTATTGCTGCGTGAGAACACTGAAGAGAGCTCGAGATCAGTTGTGGCTAAACGGTTTCACGGAAGAGCGACACATCGAATTGGAGAAGGCAATTTTGCAATTGATTTGAGGTGACACGGAAAAGAGATGGGAACTGAGGTGAGGAGAGTGTGAGCCGGGGATGTAATCCAAGATGAAGAGTGGCGATATCATGTTTGATTTCGATCGGAGAAGGGAGATATCGAGGCGAGAAGACGAGAGCAAGGAGTCACAGTTTGTTTCGCGATGACGGATCAGAAAAGATGAGAGGATGTTTTGGTTACAGAGGTGGAGCGTTTCAGTTGATCGGAGAAGGAAATGATGGAGGTTTAGAGGACTGAGATCGTGGCGGAGGGGGAAGCTGCGGAAGTGATTCGATCGAAGAAGATGAACAGTCGCACCGAATTTAACCCTAAGTCTTTGTTTCTTTCATTTTTAATTTGTTTACTTATGTTGTTATTGAACAATAGTACAAAAATGATGATGGAAACTCTGGGCTGAACCAAATCCCTCCCCTTAGGCCCACGTTTTTTTTTAACTTGAAGATAAGGCAAAAATTCTTCATGGACTAGTCTAGTTGGACTTAGTGTCAGATTTCCTGCACCATGGTGCTTATTACAGATTTACACCCTCTTAAAGTTTTTTTCTATACTAGTTTCAATTGCAATTTTTTATTAATCATGGCGATTGAATTTTTGTGATATTGGTAAATAAAAGAATTTTTTCGAGGAGTTTCAAAAAGTTACAAATGGAATTAAGAGCTTAATCCTCGTCAAGAAAATTCAAGGAGATTTTGGTAGAGTTTTCTTATTGTTTGCATGGTTTCGAAGAGGCAACGAACCTTCTCCGTTCGGTATCATCGTGACTTTATTTTATTCCTCATTCTCGCACTTTATTGCTTTCTAGATATCATGAGAAGTAGGAAATAAAGAGCGTGCGCTCGAAGTCGCTGTTTAAAGACATGTAGCAGGAATTCCACAATTCATTTGCTATATGTGTTGTGCTTGTGTTTGTTTCTTTGGTTGTTGATCGATGAGTCACTCAATTTAGAAATTGAGATCATGACTTCGCTCTCAGTGCATGCTCCCTATAGGATTTTATCGCTTTCCTTTATTTCTTGTTGATCGATGAGTCACTCAATTTAGAAATTGAGATCACGACTTCGCTCTCATTGCATGTTCCCTATAGGATATTTTTGTTAGACTTTCTTTGGCATGCTGACCTAGATAGGATGTCTTCAGGTGTGCTCTCTTGAGTTTACTAGCTTGCTTGCTTTATCCTTGTACATACCATGTTCCCTTAGGATGTGCTTGCTCCGTTTAGACGCAAGTTAGACCTTAAGTAGCAAACCATGCATGCTAACATTAGGTAGAGATTTCCCTCTTGTAAATCCGGACCTTAGGATTACCATTGTATGATAACATTAGGTTAGAAATAAGTTAGTCTCCCTTAGACTCTTTTCTTCCCCTTTTTGCATCCTTGCATTCAAAACTAAAACTTCTTTTCTTAGCAAATCAAAAACATGTTAATCTCACTTAAACCCTTTTTCAAGATAATAAAACACAGACCAATTCAAACCATTTTGTGTGCTCGAGCACCATTTCTCTAAAACCCTTTTCAGGTAAGGACATGATTAATTTACTTCTGTGCCAACGCGTAAGTCTCCAAAGGTCGAGCTGCGACAGAAGGCGGAATTAACATCGTCCATAAAAAAAAACACAAAACAAACAAAAACATATGAGCCGAACTACGGTAGCTCTGATCCTCATAAAGGATACGTAGGCATTGGGGTAGGGCCCAAGCCAACACAATTTTATTTTCCCTACATTCTTTTCCCTTTTCTTTTGCATGCATTCTCCCTTTAGCAGTAGTATAATAAACAGTAAACATAGTTTAAACACACCCATAAGATAGACAACAAGAGTGGATACCGTAGAGTACTACGAGCGTGTGGGGTGCTAATATTTTCCCCTCGCGTAACAGACTCCCTTACTCGATCTCTCGGTCGCAAGACTGTGATTTCTCCCTTCTCAGGTTTTCTCGATGTTCACTTTTTCCTTCATGTGGGATAAAAGACGTTCGATGGCGACTTCATTGTTTGATTATTTTCAGCCGATTGTTTCATGCGAACTTTCTCTGCCCCACACTCACTTTTTTGCAAAACGGACCAAGGTTTTAGGCCCTCATCCTCAACTATGTCCGCTCCATTTTTTTGCAGACTTTTGCAAAGCAGACCTAAACGGGACAGACATATCCGTTTGCCACCCCCTACTCAAAATTGCAGGTAAGCATTGCACGCAAGTCCATAAAAGATTAATTTAAACTAGTTTCAAACTTAGACGAATTTCTTAATTGAAGTTTATAATTCTCCACTTAAGAGGAACCATTACAAGCTTATACATGTTTAAAAATAAATTAATGAAAACCTGAGGAATTTCAAATGTAAACACTAATTAATCTCAAGTAACACAAGAACTATTGTTCAAACAATAACAAAAAAAACTCATAATTATTACAATACTCTTTTAACTTTTGATTTATTTATAAATACTAGTTTAAGAATCTATTCAAACTGATTCAATGTTTAAGAAAACTTCACACAAGAAATAAAATTGACAGATCCTTCCTTATCTTGGAGCTTTTTTTCTCCATTCTGTTCTTCCTCGGTTTATTTCAAGGCCGTCGGTAGACAGTCTAAGAAGATGAAGAAACTGTTGGTGTTCTTGTTTGTCATCATTCACTTTGGCAGATCCATTTGTACCTTTGAGCTCCGGAACATCCTCGGTTGTTTCTGCACTTGTAAGCGAATCAACAATGTCGTTACGTTGGCATTCTCGTCTGTAGTCCAATGTAATACTCTGCAACTCATGAGTATCGATGATTTCTTGAGGGACACTCTGTCAAAGTAACAAACACGGTTTGTTAGCTATAGTCGCGGATATCATATCTGATCGAAAAAATTTACTTTTTAGATTCATTGAATAATCAATGTATTTAGTCTCTGAGTACAACAGATACTCTTTCAAGATATGCATGAATACGCGAAAGTGTTTCAATATATTATTAAGAGAATCTAACAACCTCAAGCACCCATCCAATATAGGTCACGTTGTTAACGTGCTGATTCATGTCGAGATCGGCTCTTCTAGGCTGCAATATTGAAAAACAATGTGAGTAGGCCAGACTCTAAAATGTGCTGAATAGAAAAAGGAAGAAGATTCTTCGAGCCAAATGATCATACCACAAGACCAAGACTGGAACTCTGAGCAGGATCTACCAATTTCGGAATTTTCTTTAAGCAATTACTATCCGGTTCAGGAATTGCCAACCTAAAATCACAGAAAAGAATGAAGAAAAGAGGGATAAAAGTTACAGTATTTTCTTCGAAGCCTAACATCCCAACAATACATCCATTCCTATAATTCCTTGTCAACGAGCAGAAAAAGGGTAAAGCAAAGTACACACCTTAGTTCCCGAGGACAAAAAACCAAATACTCGTCTCGAAGTTCGTCAGAAATTTTTTGGAGTCGCCTGGTGTCCTGGTTCATCATTAGCCACTTGCTGAAACAATTAAATATAGACAGTCATCTTCATGAAAGTGTCTAAAAGAAACGACTGCATCAGAGAGCACAGCATACAACACAACTTACGCATATCAAAATTTAAAAATGCACCAATTAAAATTATGTGAATGAATTAATTGTTAATGCATCTTGATTTGTAAAATCACGAAAAGTAAGTTTCTTGGAAAGCAAAAGACGATCAGATATCATCCAACACAAAGAAGGGATATTCTACCAATTGTTAACAATTGATATCGGTTGGAATTTTCGTCTTCATTGCGGTTCGCCCCTAGTCGCCTAAATTGCGGCATTTGCCTTGCCTTCATTGCAGCCTCTAACACCTTCGTGGTGTTGGGTTTGAAGAGGTGAATTTAGTCCCACATTGCTTAGCGATATGACATGTTGGGCTTCCCGCATCGTCCACGGCATCCTCCAACACCTTCATTGTGGTGGGTTTGAAGGCATGAGTTAGACCCGATTCACATTCTAAGAATACCAATAGTATTGCCATCATTGAACTCAAAGGTGCCATACCAGAAAAACTCAACACCCTTTAGTACAATTCTTCGGTCTCATATTTGTGTCACATTTTACTGGTGAAGGATTAACTACTTTTTGACCTACTAATTTAGTAATATACCCTTATTTATGTATCTCAATTCACCTAACAGCTCCACCAATTACTATCATTTACGATACTTTAGTAAATGATCCAGAAGAAGTACTAATATTGATCATCTAACTATTACAACGACAACAAACTTGTACCATGACCATCCGAATTTGAAAGCTAAATGTATACCTTGTTGCTCTTCCAATGACTTGATTGGTTGTATAGTCTTTAATAATAAAATCACGCCTTGTTCCAGCCCGCCCTTCCGCTTGACACCATGTCTCTATCTCAACAACATCACTCCTGTACGAATCATGCAAGTTAGATTTTTTTTAATCAAAGTCTATAAATCGAGTATTGTAAAGAACAAAACCCACCAAGCAGGGTATTTGTAGACTTCAATGTGCATGCGAGCAGTGACCCATATGAGATGCAATTTTCTCATGGTAGGGGTTGTTGCAAAACCATCGGTTGAAAATCCAACACTCTGAGCATGATTACATCCAACCTCCTGCAACAAAAAAGTTACCATACATCTCAAAATTGAAATTTCATGGAATACGATAGCATATATACATAGAATTTGGCACAGCCTGTTCCATTTAATTTGCTTTGGTTTCGGCTTTTTAGTGAAACCAAAACGTATCGCCTCTTTTTCCTATAATATGCACCAAACATTAAAAAAAACTCCGTGTTCTGTTTTGTCGTGTTCAATGTTTTTGTCAAGTTCTAACGCGTCTATCAAGATTACCATACTCAGTCCAGACAGGAATAGGCCTACAATATCAGCAATATATAGCTCGATACAGAATAAACATTATTCGATATTGACATTACTTATATCTTTATATTTATCTTATTAACTAATCAATACTCCTACATACAAGGAATAAAAACTTTATAGCAACAATAAAATCAAATCTATTTCATTGTATATGGTCTCATGGTTTAAATGAATTGAGGAAATAGTTGTGAAACTTCCGAGAAATCGGGAAAGAAGAAATACAAAAGCACAATTTTCCAATATATCATCCTACATGTATGAACATCAGTGCCGAGAAAATCTGCACAAATACAATTGGCAGAAAATAGCATACAAAACCACAAGTATTTTATAAAACAAGATTAATCTCTACAAAAGCAACAACGAAATCTTGTCCCACAAAGTGGGGTGGGCTACATGGATTAACCTGCATCATAATGGTCTATCCAGAATCATGCTACTATCCAAATTGGTAATCTCGATTCTCAAGATCTTTCTTAATAATATAGTCTTTCTAGGTATTCCTAAACTATCTCCACTGCATTGTTCCTAAACTATCTCCACTGCCTGGTGAGATAGGATTGAATACACATGTACAAAAGTTCTACACTGAGCATGCATATAAATCAAATTCTTATACAAAACCAGAAATAATCTCAAAATGCCAAATAACTTAACCTTGTACATAAAAACCAGCAAAAACCTCAAATGCCAAACATGTTCTGTTTTTGCACTTACATGAAAAAAAAATTAAAATATAAAATAAAAATTCCCAATTTGTAATGAAACACTGCCACAAATTGAACATGGATCAGAACTCAAAACCACCCAGAAGCCTAAAACCCCACCCCAACCAAAATCAATCAAAAAAGTCTCAAACTTTCACCTACCACTCACTATTAATCAGATCAAGAAACAAAATTCACAAATTCAGAACCAAAATTCAAAAAAAAAAAAAACCTGCAAAAGATTAGCAATGGTTTCAACAGTAGCAGTCTTATTGATACCAACTTCATAGCTCCTAACAATAAACTTCTCTTTATACGAAAACCCATCTTCAGTCAAGCTCCCAAGCCTCAACCGGTCCTCCAAACTCCCATTTTCCGGTTCAACCCGGTTGACCACCGCACCGTCCTTGGCCGTCGCCACAGCATAAACCGGACACGCCTTTGTTGACCGGAACCCCATAACTGAAATCCGGCCGGAAAAAAAGGAAGTGGGTCGACCCATGAACCCGCATTGAGCCGTCAGCTGAACCCGGTCCACCCCATTACACGAAAGCTTCAACATTTTTTATCAATTAAAAAAAATCGAAATCAGGGTTTGTGTTAACTAGTTATGGGTTTTGAAAAAGATTGAGAATTGAAAGAGGGAGGTGATGAGTCTCTATGTGAATGAAGAAAAAGTTGAAATTTGCATTGAAGCAAAGTCCAACGAGTGGCTTCGAATTTAACGAGGATGTTGTGTTGTGTTGGGTGTGTTTAGTTGAATTGAAAGAGATAGGGATGGGAAAGGAACAGTGAATGAAGGATGGTGGCACGTGTTCAACACCTTGGGATTTCTTAAATTACGAATTTGCCCTTTTCGTTTCAGGATTTGCATACATGTATCTGAATTTTTAGTTTATTTCGTTATGCTCGAGGGAGATTTGATATTTGTAGTACATCTTTAATGCACCTACTACCGCTCTCATTATCAAATCAACCAAGTATTGTTGTCTGTGGAGGCTTTTTTTTTTAAGTATTCTCTAAAAATAATTGGCAATTTCAATTTTTAATACTCGTATATTGAATTTACAAAAAAAAAAAAAAAGTATAGTTGAATTTGAAATGTCAATTCTTTTGAGAAGTTGTGGTCCTCCCTAATTACTTGATTGAGTATATCTATCATAACTTTAAAGTTACTCTCAACCATTATATTTGTAATACTTTTTTTGTTAATTTAACTTTATTCCATGCAATATCGTTCATATTTCCATAGTGAGAGCATTGCACAATTCAATTTGATATTTGTAATATATCTAAGAGTGGTAAAATGAGTCGGATCCGTCGAGTCGACCCGTTTGACCTGTCATTTTTGGTGGATTTGGCTGAGGTTTTCAGCTCGGTACTTTAAGTTGGCCTGCCCCACCTAACCCGTTTAAAAAGGCGGACTGAGGCTGGACGGACCCACAAGCTTTTTGTTAACACATTTTTTTTTTTTACTTAGACTTAAAATAATTTTAACTATTAAAATTATACTCTTCTCATATGATTATGTTGAATGGAATTATTCTAAATTATTATCCAGACAAATTGAGTTATAATTGTAACATTATTTCTATATTTTTCTAATACATGTGTTGATTGGAAAAATTTGAAATAAAAAAATAATTGTATGGCATGCAAAATTATTAAGTTATCAATACATTAGCTCACATGTTTTCTTTTGAAATAGATGTTGATTTTAAGAAAATGAAGAATTTGATTAGTATATACATGTGACAAAATTAAGATTTAACTATTAAGGAATCAGTCAATATAATAGTTTATATGATGTAAACACTGAAAAGTCAAGTGTTGATATTTTATGCATTGTGTTGTTTTATGCAATGTAATTGTTATCAATGTGTGTCTTGTGTAAATTCATAATTGGGTTCTTTTAGTATTTAATTTTTTAATATGATTAGGATGATATGTTTTGTTTATTTATTTTGATACATTTTTTTATTGTGCTTGAGTTTATTTCATTATTTTTTTTGTTGTAATTGATTTTTATTTATTTTATTTTTTTAAACTGTTTGGACTCAAGACATGTTGAAGTTCTATTATTCATTGTAAAAAAAATCTTTTGTCGACCTCTTTAATAATAAATATTTTTTTTAAATTATGTAGTAAATCAAATTGTCAAATAAAATAAAATAAAAATTTGACGGACCGGCCTGCCAATCCGCCAACTCATAAGTAAACGAGACGGACTTGACTTTTGAGCTCAGACTCCTAAGTTGGTCTGCTCCACCCCGCCCCACTTTTGGACGGACTTAAATGGGGCGGACCAAAACGGAGCAAGCCGCCCGTTTTACTAACCCTATGTTCATCTTTAATGCACCTATTACCGCTCTCATTATCAAATCAACCAAGTGTTATTGTCTGTGGATGATTTTTTTAAGTATTCTCTAAAAATAATTGGCAATTTCAATTTTTAATACATGTATATTAAATTTACAAAAAAAGGGTCTTTAGAGCTAGGAAAATAAAATTAAGAAGAAAATTTAACAAGTTTAAGAAATGAAGTCCTAACAAACTTTTTAGCTTATTTAATGAGAGATTTGGAAGAATGAAAAGTTTATAATTGTTGAAATAAAAGTATATTGATTAGTTAATCTGCACATTGGTTTCATGCATGCATAGAATAGTTGAATTTGAAATGTCAATTTTTTTTAATCTTCTTTATGTTTCTACGAATTAAGGTTGAGAAGTTGTGGTCCTCCCTAATTACTTGATTGACTATATCTATCATAACTTTAGAGTTACTCTCAACCACCATATTTGTAATACTTTTTTGTTAATCTATCTTTATTCCATGCAATTTCGTTCATATTTCCATAGTGAGAGCATTACACAACCCAATTTATGTGCATAGTCCCTCACTCAAATTCTAAAGGAATCTCTTAATAAGTCTCCACGTTCGATCGTGGACGTAGATTTCTTGTAAGTACAGTCACAATTAAGTTTAATCTGGTTTTTATTCGGGTGATACCAATGAACATGTTTGATCTCTAGATTTAGGAATCTAACATTCGTCTGCACATGATTGTCGTTCTAGATTTCTTTCACCTAATGAATGATTATATCTATTAGGTTTTTTGTCCCCTGAAATTTCAAAGATGAGTTTGTTCATTCACTTCCACATGTGCCAACACGATATCATAAAAAAAAATACCTTCATTGTCCTCTATGAAAAAACTGCAATATTTTCTATAAGAATGTACGTGGTCCAATCCCTGCAAGAAAAAGAATAAAATTGAGTCATTTTGTATGAAGGCATAATACATATGTTGCATAATTAGGGCAATCCTGAAGCACATGAATCAATGTCTCTTTTGTGTTGTTACGCTAATTGCAACTAGCGGAGATTATTGGATTTAACATGTATCATAAGTAAGGGTGAATGTTTTGATTCTTTGGGAGTGTCATTGACATCTTAGGAATAAGGGGAAGAATAATCATAATGTAATTACTCAACTCATTAGTGAACTAGCTCCTAACTAATTCAAGATTATGATTCCCTTCATTATTTATCATGTCTTTAGCCATGATGGTGATATCCATAACCATGTCTGCATAGAAAAAATTGAAGAAAAATGGTTTCTCTAATGGAGTTTAATGGTCAAGCTAAAACTTGATTTTTGTGTCATTCCCGAGCTTTCACTTAATATTCTTCTTTAACTTATTCCACACCTTTATTAATGATTTCCATAACAGGGAGCCAATCGACTTATAAATAATATTCTCCATAAGTTTTTGATTCCTACCACACTTATTAATGAGTAACTAACACCATAAATCAATAAGGTTGGTCAATAAATTACAAATAATTTTAAATAGAAAAGCATAATTCATTAATTGAGTTTGTTTGATGCTTAAGCCACCAAGGTCCTTAGCATACAACAAACCTTTCAACTAATTATATGAACTTTGTAGGTCGTCTTCGTGTCTCCCCAGATAAATCCCCTTTGAAGTTTTCTAAACTCATTACAAATAGTTAGAGGGATTTTAGTCTACTTCATATGAATGTAAGGGGTGTTACTTAACAATGATTGACATAATTTAATTATATTGTCCAAGTTTAATAAATTATGTTTACGCTCATTTAGACACCTCTATACCCGCTCAGTGATATGCTGAAATATGTTTCTATAACTTCTATCATAAGTAATGTCTTCCCCCAAGATACTTAACCAAAATTGTGGCTTCTCTAAAGCCTATATGATGTATCTCCTACCAGAGTTGAGCATCTGCATTAGTTGAGAAATAAATTTGAGTCTTCTCTAATTTATCTTTTGGTTGAAGGCTTGACAAAATTGACCCAGAAAATGCTTGATGCAATAAGCTTGCTCTATAGTGACATATATTAAAGGAATAAGGACATCTTTAAATAGGAGGTGAGAGACCTAAGGTCCCTCATGCCTCACCTGCACAGGCTTCTAATAACTCGTATTAACTTGATCAACAATAATATTTGACAAATAATACATACAAATAACAAAAAGATAAAGAGAGATGTGTCACCTTTATGAATACCTCTAGATGGAGCAAAGTTATCCAACTTGTCCTCATTCCGCAAAATTTTGAAAAATGAAGAACAAATACAATAAAGGGGTGACCCGGTAAATTAAATTTATTATTTATTCAAGAAACTTAAAATACTTGAGACATTGGGTGACAAACTTCCAATTTAATTTTTGTAAGCTTTTTCTAAATCATTAGTTATTTACATAAATACCTTTTGGATTTTCATTATTTTCATCGCATGGATCATCTCCTGGGAAATAATAATATTATAATTAATATTCCTCACTAGAAAAAATATATACTAGTATGGAGAAATGATATTATTTAGGAGAGGATTCACACAGTTCACCATAATTTTAGTGAAAAATTATTTATTACACTACAAAGGGAAATAAAATGGAAGTGTGTGAGAAATTATAGTTGGTAATTATTTAGAATGAGCACAAAAATAGTATTATTTGAAACACTAATTAATGAGAGTTCACTCCAGACCCTACTAACAAAATTATGTAAAGATATAGCCACAATTTCCCAATAATACTAATAAAAAGAGTGTTGGGTACCCATTTTTTCATAGGGATTTATGTGAACTCGTGTTAAATAGATCCTTTATGACCTCCTCCATGAAAGGAATATGGTGTAGGGTAACCTAATGATTGTAAGAACAAGATTTGATTATGCATCTGGCATTGAGTTTTGATGATAATATTGCATGGGTGATTAGATAACAATTTAGTACCCTAATGATTTGTTTAGTGTGTAACTTTTGCTAACACGTTATGACTCTGAAGAATTTATGTGTGGCGTCATTAGATTTTGGACTCAACACACTAAGAGATACAAGTGCATGTGTCATTGCTTAGAATGCTTCTTAAAATAATGGTTCTGATGAACATTAATTTTATCGCTTCTAATTGTGACTCTGATGGTAGAGCTTCTGAAGGGTTCTCAAGCTCTAAAGATTCCAAGATCTCTTGCTCTAGGGTTTTGAAGATTATAAAGACAAGGTTCTGATAA